GCCTCCACTCAAGCACTTACTCATTGCAAGAACATGTTGTTCTATTAAATTGGCATTCCAGGATGCACACCTTCCCAACACGATTGCTGAAGAAAAATGTGAACATAAGCAAAGGTAGTGAAGAAAGCGGCTACCAAAAGATATAACATCTGGGGTCTTAAAGGCTTGAAGACATATAAGATACATTTTAAAAATCTAAAATATATAAACTAAATGGCATAATGCAAATAACTCATCTTTGACATTTGTGAGAGAGAGACTGGCAAAGATAGTGTCCTTTGACAGAGATTTCTGAATTTAACATTCAGAGTTGCTCCAGTCTCTGTGTCTTGGCCTAATGGCAAATAGCAATAAGTTTCTTGTTTGAAATCCTTAAGTACCACTTCACATTTAGTGTCTGCAGGCTAAAGTTGCTTCTAATATTTAAGAAGCTGAAATAGCATGATTTTCTTTTTAAAATATCCAGGTTTTGCTACATTTTAGTTTGAACCCTAGAACCAGGAGGTGTTTGGGGATATATACGACTGAGTTTGCAAGTTGGCATATTCATGCTGATCATGTTTTCTTTTAAATCTAGGAAGTCTTACTGATGAAGCACAGCAGTATTATTGCAGATTAGTGGAAATGGATTCAAGAAGTGGTCCAGGCCTCATTGGCTTAGGCATTAAAGCATCACATGACAAAAAATATGAAGATGCTATAAAGAGCCTAACAGAAGGTGCTGTATATCCAATATGTAATATAATATGAGATGTCATGATATTTACTCTGTAGGCATTTATCTTTGGCCTTTCTTTGAAGGTTATGTATCTCAGATGGAAGGCAAAAACTGGAGCCATACGCTCTAGAGTCTGCTTAAATTTGAGTTCCACCCTGCCATTTACTAATTTCATGACCTTGAGAAAAGTAATTAAAATTTCTGTCTTAATATTTTCATATGTAAAATAAAGGCAATAATATAATTTGCTTGTTAGGGCTGTTATTAATTGATTTGAATGAGTGTCTACTACCAGTATCAGTAAATTTTAGCTATTAATATTATAGTAGCTAGAAAACAATATAAGATGTTAGCAAGAACATCATGATATTACATATAGAAACCAAACTTATTCAAGAATGTTTCTTAGAGTAGAGAAATATGCGCATTGTAGTTTATGTCCGAAAACTTTGACTGTGGATTACCTGTAAAGCATCTGTGGATGATTATAATGCCCTGTGTATAAATTAATAATAGGTGTTATTAATATACCTACTTACAAATATGAACTTACAGTTGTGTAGTCAGTCATAAAATAACTGTTTAAAATGTTTTCTTGTTTTTCAACCTAGCTGCTTGTAAGACTCTCAGGGTCAAGTCTCAAATCTGTTGACTCAAAACCACCATGGAAAAAGTTGGGGATTTTCTCTTCCTTTCTAATCATGCTTTCTAGGAAATTCATAATACAGGCAGATAATCATGTTTTAGACTTCAATAATAACTGTTTGTCTAGAACAATCTTAAAAAACCACTTTACTGCTTTACTATAGTTACAGTATTTATGGTTTTCATAATTTTTCAAATTGAATCTTAATTGAATAATTATTTCTAGGTATCTTTGAGATTAGCTGTAGATCTTGATTGCTTGTAGAGCCTTTAAAATTCTTTTAGTCCAGGTACATCATTCATAAAACTAGACTTAAATGGGAAAATAAAATCCTCGGTCTTTTTTCTTGCAAAGATTGCTGTTTGAAAAAAAAAAAAAGGTGTGTCGCATTGTATTAAAAACAATACATTTATGAAATTCTTGAAAACCTTTGAAAATCTGCTGTCTGTTATTATATTTATATTGTCATGAATTGATGATTCCTTGAAAGCATATTTCGGTATTACCTGTTTTTTCATTTTACTTTTCCCAGATTTGGTTAATTTGTTAGTTATACTACCATGCTTTTCGTGTAAGTTCTAATCCAGTAGCCCTGCTATTTGGCAAAAAGAGAGCGCATAGCTCTCTCTAGAACCATTCTACTTATTTGCACTGTATGAAGTAAGAGAAAAGGTTAAAAACAAAACAAAACAAGACATGGGGAAGGACCTGTTAATAGGAAGAAATCAGACAGCTTGTGATGAGTTACATTTAATGATGTAAGACTTGAACGGATGTTTTCTTTCAAAGCTTTTCTGTATAAGGTCTGGGAATTACTTGTCTAAAAGACTTTTAAAAATAACATTGCAGAATTGGATTGTTTTATGCTTAATTTTTTTTCCTCCTTGAAGCAAATAAATAAGCCCCTTTGGTTATTTTTAAATACTGTTGGGCTTTTATACTGTTTTTGAAGTGGCAGTTAAGATATTAGACGTTAAAATATGTCTATATCAAAGCATATAAAACAGCCATGTTTCCCCTTTCCCTTTTATTGCCCATTTGGTTTTGTATGTGTGTTCTTCAAGGTTGACTTCAGTCATTGGTTTCTATAGTTTTTATACACCGGGAGTGCAGAATCGGTTGTCAAAAGGCAAATACAGAATCAGTGGTGAACATTAAATATAGGGGAAGCACAGAGTCCCAAGTAGCTCTCACTTGGCCTTGTCAGATGCAAGGGAATCGGTTGTGAAGTTTCCTGTAGTGAGAGCAAAGCTGGTGCTCTGGGGGCGGCTGATCGTTCAGCAGGCGTTGACACTGAAGCCTGGGGACCAGAAGGTCAAGAGGCGAGGATGGAGAGGACCTCAAAAGCTCGTTAAGGAGTTTACACCTTTTCCTAACGAACAGTGGGAAACCCAAAAGGTTTCAAGTAGGTAAATTTATAATCTGAGTTGTATTTTAGAAATACAACTGTAGAGAGTGAATTTATGGGTAGCAAGCACTTCCCATACTAGGATTCCAGGGCTGGGAAGTGATGGTGACATAAATGGAGACACGTGTGTAGTGGGAAATGGAGTGCAATGGAATCAGTGTGACTTTGTGACTGTTTCGATGTGGACAAAAGAGAAGGGAACAATCTGATTTAAGTATTAGGTGGTGGCTCCACTTATCTAGTAGTCATGGAAATTGGGATTGTAATTTTTTTTTAAATATCCTTTTAGGGTTAAAGGAAAGCCCTCTCTGCACAATCGGATGGTATCATCTGGCAGAAGCCCAAGTCAAAATGCATAAACCTAAGGAAGCGATACTTTCATGCAATCAAGGTATGCTTGATCGCTTTTAGGCTTACACAGAGGGGTTCCCCATGTTAATGTTAAGAGAGAGAGAGCAGTTTTAAACCTCCATGCTATAGTTTGTACTTTAAGTTGTGACTATTGCAGATCTTACTGAAGAGGTTAAAAGAATACCAAGTCTGCATCAGGCTCTCCTAGTGTATTTTCAACTGACAATGAGTTTTTCACCTGACAATGAGTACCATCATGTTCAAACCCAAACCATATAAGGCCAATACTAGAAATGGATTGATGTTTATTGAGTACAGGAAGTCCTCAACTTATAATAGGGGTCTGTTCTGACAACCCCATTCTGAGGTCTGAGATGTAAGTTAAATAACTCTTTATTTTTAAAATACGTTTATATTATCATTGCCATAGCCTGCTAAATGACAGTGTTTTGAATAGTAAATCATCATATTAAACATTTGAGAGTGAACCTCTGAGAATGATAACATCACCCAAGTATACACTGCAATATTATATATGGTATATATTGCTAATGAGAAGATATACCAAAAATAAAAAAATAAATAAAAACCCCAACCTGTAGCAATCTAAGTGCAGTTCATTGTAACTTTTCATCAACTGGGGACAACCTGTACCTGATTTCAAATCTAGGGAGTCAAAAATGTTCCAATGATGTGAGAACTTCCAAAGACTTATACCTTATTGTATCAACATTGCCCTGACAAAGGGCCAGGGCATAAGTGGTTGAACAATCTGCAGTAAGGAAGGATAGCGTACAGCATTGTCTTGAAGAATAATTAGAATTATTATTACTGATTTGCTCTAAAACTTTGATCTAGCCTGACCTTTGTTGTCTCTGTTTCTCAGAACTGACTGCACATAGATAATTCCACAAGACAGTGTGCTGTCTTGACTAATTTATCTGGACACTGGTGGGTAAAAAAGTGACTTTCAGAAACCAGTGTCTTCCAGGCTCAAGGTTCAAAAATTCATCTAAGGGCAATGGCCTGGGAGGGTCACCACAACCATGGACCTCAGAAGCCTGGATTCCAGGAGAATTAAAACTCTTTTTTAAACATCATTTTAGGTTTGGGAGGAAGGGCTCTATCTTTGAATGAAGGCTATTTCCAGAATGCTCCAGGTCCTTCACAAATTCTTTCTCCACACTCAGTTCCTAATATAAAGAATTTATATTGTTTTGACAGTCTATGCTTTTTGAACCTGCAACCTATGTCATATTATTCTTAAAAACAGTGAAGTTATATTGCTGTCTTCATTCAAATGTCCTTAATTTCATCAGCTCTGAAGAAAATAGATAATCTCGGGGTGTCTGCTGGCAGCCTTCATCAGAAGAATCGCTGTCTTCATTTGAAAGCAGATGCTTTGATTAAACTTTCAGATTATGAAGCTTCAAACGAAGCTATTCAAATTCTTGATCAGGTAACATTTTCACTGAATTTCCCCCTTTAATTTCGTTTTCAGTCAACCAGACATTGAACACTCTACCACAAGCATTTACTTAAAAAACGTTTGTGTGAGGCATATGAATTCACCACTTTTGAGCTTTTGTAAATAATAAACACTTGGAGTTATTAGCTTTCCTGTCTGCTATCTACTTATGTACCCCTCATAGGATGCATGTTCTCTCATTTCCCCTCCCCCCATTTCAGGTTACAACTACTTGATTACAATGAACTTGGCATTAATTTGCTAATGCCACGAAAAGAAAAATGATAAAATAAACAAGATGCACTGTCACATGAAGTATGACTGTTAGAGCATCAAACCTGAATCAGATCAAATTTCTAGATCTAAGTACTAATTGACAGAAAATGCAGGGGACTGCGACGCCTGTTGACATCATGAGGATGCTGTCACTGTGGGCTGTTGTGGAGACTCACTCGGAGAGACCCTGAGGTAGAGAGGAGAACTGCCCTGCAGTTTCCAAAGTTAGAATTTGTAAGGAAGCCGAGTGCCACATCTTTCTCCTGTGAAACAGCTGGTAGTTTTGAACCGGCCACCTTTTGGTTATCAGCTGAGAGCTTAACCACTGCATCACCCACCATGAGAATACAGTCAGCAAAATTCAGGCTCTGAGATCCTGTGAAAAATGGGAGCGAAAATGAGATGGAGGGGAATGTAAGACACATAACAGTTAACTGAGGTGCTTGTACCTTATCTGGAAGGAAAACAAATGAATTGTTCCAATATTTTATTGAGCTACTGGAAAAATTTGAATACTGAGTACTTATTTGATGATATTAAGGATTTAATTTTGTTTTTGTTTAGGTGTGATAACGGGAATGTGGGTATGTTACTTTAAAATGATCCTTATAAGAGTAAGATATTAAGGTACTACAGATAAAAATTGATGTTATCTGGGATTTTTTCCAAAACAATCTGATTGGGAGGCATAGCGGAAAAAATACTGATTTTGAGCTGATCATTTTAAGGCTGGATGATGGGTACATGTGGGCTCGTTATACTACTTGGTCTCATTTTGCATATATTTAAGTTGAATTTAGGACCCAGCTGTGCTATGGGCATTCCTTAAGTAGTGATGAATTATGTGAAAGGAATAGCAAGTCCTACCACTTATTTTCTAGGTTTCTGATGCAAATAATATCCCAGGACTTTTGATTCTCAGGAGCTTGGCCTATCTGAACAAAGGCTTATTAGATGATGCTACAAAGGTGGGTTTTTATGTTTGTTTGTTTTTTATATTAAAACAGCATTTTTTAAGAGCTAAGAGTCATTCCATTTGGATTTAAACTAACAGGTATCTTCTTTATAGATTCTGGACGACCTTCTTGCTTCTTACCCCGACCTAGCTAGTGTACATGCCCTTCAGGCTTCGATTCATTTTACCCAGAAGGACTACCTACTGGCAGAAAAATGGTAAGGAAACATGGATGGTTCATCAATCCAGTCACATCTTTGTTTAGTATGTTTCTCAATAATTCAAAATGAGTGTGCTTGATGAAGATTTGTGTTTACATTTTGTCTTTTTAAGCATCCAGTCTTAGTATTTTTAAGAATGTATTGTCTATGTAGCGCCATAAGTATTTTAAAAAAATCTTTGGATGAGTTTGAAATCGTTACTGATCATCATCTTCATTAAGCATATCTAGCACTTGGTGTGTGCTCTGAACACCTAACAAATTGGTAGTGCAAAAGAGCAGCTTACTCTTTGAAGCCTCTCTTCAAAGAGCTCAGAGCTCTCTCGACCCACATTATGGTGTGCATCCTACAGGACACGAGTTGCCTCTAACCCGCCGTGGCTGAGTGCCTTCAGCTCGGAGTGTGCTGACCTGCAGTCACATTTGCTCTCTTCTGGTGCTTAGTTTTCAGAGGGCTCTTGAGAAGGACCCTGAAGTTGCTGAGTATCACTACCACCTGGGGCTAACATACTGGTCCATGGGTGAAGAAACAAGAAAAGATAAAACAAAGGCTTTTACTCACTTTCTGAAGGTAAAGACATGCTCAGAGTGGCATCTTAATTGAATTAGATTCATTATATAAAAGCTAGATTTGTAAAATGATTCTTCGCTGAATTGTTTTCGTATGCTTTATCTCTCACATAAGGCTTTGTGTGAATGTGATGTGGGCTCCCCAGATGACTGTTAAACACAAGTATGTCAGTGTTACTTTAATACATGCATGTTACAGAAAACTTGATAGATTATCTCTAGGTAACAGTTTTTTTAAAGGTAATTTCCACTGTGTTTGAGCATTGGAGTCTTATTTCTTGTTTTCAGCTAATACCTAGATGTCTTACATTCCCTTAAACAATAGCTCCAATTTCACATTTCTTTTAACAAAATATATCAGAGTTTTTACACTTGTATATGCATTCTATAAGCAGGAAGTGTCAACGAAACTTTATGTTGGAAAAATGTTTTGGCTTGTTTATGAGTATTTCATAAAATTGTTCCTTTTTACATTTGTGTATTTATCTTTTATGTTTTAAAGAGACTTATCCAAAGAAACTTTTATGTTTTGTCCATATTAATATTTATTTCAAAGGCTGCAAGACTGGACCCGTACATGGGCAAAGTTTTCTGCTATTTAGGTCGTTATTACAGAGATGTAGTGGGAGATAAAAACAGAGCCCGTGGGTGTTACAGGAAAGCGTTTGAATTAGATGACACTGATGCCGAATCAGGAGCTGCAGCTGTTGACCTAAGTGTAGAGCTCGAAGAGATGGTATGTCAAATGACTTTAATTCTTTTGTTTTGTTGTTTTATCCTGGGTATTTAAATGGAAAATTTTACAGTGTATGTGTATAGCATTACATATCAGAAGCTGAAAGGGAAATATATCTGTATTTTACTTATGTAGTCTGCATTTCTATAGTATTCAACGTCTCTAGTATTTATCTTTCATTATTAGGAAACTGCCTTAGCTGTCCTCACTGCAGTAACTCAGAAGGCAAGTGCTGGAACTGCAAAATGGGCCTGGCTCCGGCGAGGACTCTACTATTTGAAAGCAGGTCAACATGCTCAAGCAGTGGCTGAGTAAGGCTCCTCATTATACTAAACTCTGCTAGACAGCAAACCGATAGGGTAGAGAACAAGTGCGAGGCAAGTCAGATATTTAAGGAAAATAATATTCTGAGCAGTTCATTCCCCAAAAGTAGTTTGTTCTTATTTGATTCTAGAGTAATAATAACATTTCTTAGTATTAAAAGTAATGCAAACCATAAAAGAAAGAGGTGCGCTGGTCTTTAATAGTACTTTTAAATTGGGGAGCCATAGATAATATGTGATTTAGTTGAATTACTGTTACATTGATTTTTCTTTCATATGTGGACTAAGGTCTTTTACTTTTAATTCTTTTCCTTTATCTTGAAACCTTAGTTTACAGGCAGCCTTAAGGGCAGACCCAAAGGACTTCAATTGTTGGGAGTCGTTAGGAGAGGCATACTTAAGCAGAGGTGGCTATACGACTGCTTTGAAATCCTTCATCAGAGCCAGTGAGCTGAACCCAGAATCCACATACAGTGTGTTCAAGGTTGCAGCAATTCAGCAAATCCTAGGGAAATATAAGGAGGCTGTATCACAATACCAGCTGATTATTAAAAAGAACGAAGATTATGTACCTGCATTGAAAGGTATTTTTAAAAAATAGATCTTTTGTCGTATTAAATTATAAAAACGTTGAGTTTTCTAAATGCATCGAGGAACGTGCAAAGGACTTCTTCAGTCAATAGTAGGTGTTCATTGTCAACCAATCTAATACAGCATGTTACACAAATTTGATGTAAGAGCATTAAATCTTGTTTTACAACACTTAATAAATAGTGATATGATAGAGATTCAACTTAGATAAGCAGTATAATAGCTATTGGGTCTAAAAAGGGATCTTTAAAGCAGGAGTTCCTCTGGTATCTCTTGTATTCTGATTTATTTGTTAATTCACTATATCCTAGACTATTATAAGACCCTTTATTACATTGTAAATTGTAGAAGCGCAATTAAAATAATTTTGCAACCGGAATTGTTTAATAATACCTTAATTTTAGTACCTTTGAACAGACATATTCCTTAATAAACTATTATTCTAATAATATAAAGTGAAACACCATCCATATATAATCTAAAAGTTTTAAGATTGTATCTAGCCCTTTGTAAAAACCTGGAGCCCCTTATAACTGCTTTTTAACTATTTCCTTTTACTTTTTAAAGAGGCATCTGAGGTTTAAATCAAGCAAATATTGTATATTTTAAATAACATGCAATTTAAGGTTTGAGAACTTTTTCCTTTTTAGTTTTACAAAACTCTTTTCTCAAGGGAAGAACTCACATTTATTAAATTCTTATTCATTATGTCAGGAAAACATTATTTGACCTTTATAGTATAGCTTGTTTACCGATTCAGATATCAAAAAATAAAATCTTATTTCATACTGGTTAATAAATAGTAATATAATATAGATAGCATTCTGATAATATCTCCATTTTCAAAGCTAAAGAGGTAAGTAACTTGCCTAGAGTCAAGAAAATGTATTCTTGGTAAGTTTATCAATTAGCATATACTTACTCTAGTAATACCTTGCCATTTGAATTACATATTAAATGAGTACAAAATAATACTTAAAGAAAATTTTATATATCTCATTAAGATTTACTTTTTGGAGCGTGGCTTTAAAACACCACCAGTATATGTATTTGAAGCTTGTTCTAAGTGTTTCTTTTTTCGTTTTAGTGACCGCTTCAAATGTATCTGTTTCAGGTCTGGGTGAATGCCATCTCTCGATGGCAAGGGCAGCTCTAGTCGATTACCTGGATGGGAAAGCTGTGGACTACGTAGAAAAGGCACTGGAATATTTTACTTGGTTTGTATAATTCTTATTACTCTTTGTGTTTATTTGTTAGTATTTTCATAAAGCCAAGTTTAGAGAATAATTTTATTTATTCTTTAGATTTAGTAATTACTCTGAATGTCCAACATAGCATAGTGGACTGCCATATATCTATATATATATATGCATATATAGATATATATGTGTATAGAATATATATATAGTTTTGGTTTTCTGGGAAATAGATCCAGGTTTTTGTGTTCTTCGTTTTTGTGCTGAATGCCTGGGTAGGACTGGCAAGCAGGAGACAGTTTGCGAGAGGAACCACAGGTCTGAAACCACATGCCAGTGCACTCTTTCAGGTGACCTGGAAGTGGGAGCTTATCTCTCATTCAAACCGAATGGAATATGGGTGTTCGGGTACAAAATATATGTTATACAGTCTTGCTACAACAGAATAGAACACCATCCAATTCTGGGCCATCCTTAGAACTGCTGTGTTTGAGCCCATTGTAACCACTGCGTCAGTCCCCCTCTTTGAGGTCATCCTCTTTTGATGATGCTCTACCAAGCATTTTCTAGGGACTGATCTCTCTAAGAAATGATTAAACTGAAATGGGCTGGTATTTCCCATTTAGAATCAGACAACCATATGGTCTACTCTTCCAAGGATGACGATTGGAGAGAAATGGCATCACATTCAACATTAGAATGGAGCATTTCAAGATCTTTCTTGAAGTGTCAAACTGCCAGTGATAGATAACATCTATACTCCTATAAGGAAGTCCAAGGAGCCTTGGTGATGTAGTGGGCCATGCATTGACCTGCTAACTCAGAGGGCAGCATTTGAAAGCCATCCTTTGCTTCTCAGGAGGAAGATGCAGCTTTTTACTCCTGTACAGATTATGGTCTTGGAAATCTAACAAGGGCAGTTCTACTCTGTCCTAGCGGGTCCCCTGAGTTGGCATCGACTCGACGGTAGCGAGTTTGAGTGAGATAAGGAGGCCCAGTTAATATGACTTATTCAAGTTTATATACCAACCACTAATGCTGAAATAAAGAAATTGAAGATTTTTACCTACCTGTATGGCCTGATGGTATAGTGGTTACAAGTTGGGCTGCTGACTTCAAGGACAACAGTTCTAAACCACAAGCTGCTCTGCAGAAAAAGATGAGGCTTTCTGCTTCTGTAAAGAGTTACAATCTTAGAAACTCACAGATTGCTCTGCACAATAAGGTCGCCATGAGTCAACAGCAATTCCATAGCAGTGAGTTTGTGTTTTGAGTTATGGTGTAGTCTGAAATTGATCAAACACAGAATCCAGATGCATTGATAATTATTGGATTGAAATGTTAGAAACAAGGATCGTAGTTAGAAACTATGACTTTGATGATAGGAAGTGTCAGAGATTGTGTGATAGAATTTTGAAAGACCAACAACTTATTTACTGCAAATACCTTTTTCCAACAACGTAACTACTCTAAACTTTGATCTTTCTGGATGGAACACACAGGAATCAAATTGACTCCATCCGTGGGAAGAGACAATGGAGAAGCTCAGTATCGTCAGTCATAACAAGACTAGCGGCTGTGAGACAAACTACGAATTGCTCATGTTTAATTTCAAGATGAAGCTAAAGAAAATTGAAACAAGTCTGAGAGCCAAAATTTGATCTCAAATGTTTCCTACCTGAATTTATAGATAATCTCAAGAATAAATGTTATGCATTGAACACTAATCACTGAAGAGCAGACAAATTGTTAGATGATATCAAGGACAACAAAAGCGCAACGTTGTTAAAAAGACAAGAAAGAAAGAAAAGACCAAAATGATGTCAGAGGAGACTCTGAAACTTGCTCTTAAGCATAGAATAGCTAAAGCAAATAGAGAAATGATAAAGTAAAAGAGCTGAAAAGATTTCAAAGGCTGAAAAAACAATGTAAGGAATTATAATGAAATGTGCAATGACCTGGAGGTACAAACCCAAAGGGAAGAAAACACTTAAAATTTCTCAAGGTGAAGTTGTTGAAGAGAGAAATTCAAGCCTCAAGTTAATATTGAAAGATACTATGGGCAAAATATTGAATGACACAAGAAGTATCTAAAGAAGGAATCCACAGAGTCACTGTACGGGTAAGAGTTGGCTATGGTTCATTTTAGCTATCACTCCCGTTCCTAAGAACGGTGGTCCAGTGAATGAAGAAATTATTGAACAATATGATCGATATCACATGCAAGTACAGTTGTGCAGAAGATAATTAACAGTTGGACAGGGAACTGCCAGAGATTCAGGCCAAATACAGAAGAGGACATGGAATGAAGGATATCATTGTTTATGTCAGTTGGATCTTGGCTGATAGTTACTTACTTTTTATTGACTCTGCAAAGGCATTAAACTACATGGATCATAACAAACTAGAGATAACATTGTGAAGAATAAGCATTTCAGAATATCTAATTTTGCTCAGGCAGAACCTGTGCCCACACTAAGAAACCGAAAAAGGGGGTACTGCGTGGTTGAAAATCAAGAAAGATGTGTGTCCAGGTTGTATCTTTTCATTGTGCTTATTCACTCTGCATGCTGAGCAAATAATCTAAGGAGCTGGACTATCCGAAAGATCGGAGGAAGACTCATTAACAGCCTGTGATACGCAGATGATACAACCTTGCTTGCTGAAAGTGAAGAGGGTTGCGGCATTTCCTGAATGAAGAACAAAGGCTATAGCCTTTAGTATGGATTGCACCTCACCGTTAGACATAAGTCCTCACAACTCAACCAATAAGCATCATTATGATAAATGAAGAAAATATTTCATCATGAAAGTATTTCTTCATCATGAATGAAGAAAATATTAACGTTGTCAAGGATTTCTTTTTACATGAATCCACAGTCAGTGCTCATGGAAACAACCATCAAGCAGTCAAAACAAGGTATTGCATTGGGCCAATCTGTTGCACTGGAATGCTTTTAAAGGGTCAACAAGGAGAAGTTGCCACAGCGAGGAATAAGGTGCAACTGACCTAAACCATGGTATTTTCAGTCCCGTCTTATCCATGTGAAAACTAGAGACTGAATGAGTAAGACTGAAGAATTTATGTCTTTGATTATAGTGTTGATGAAGAGTTTTAAATATGCCCTAAGCTGTTGGAAGAAAGAGTAAGTATATCTTGGAAGAAGTATGGCCAAAATGTTCCTTAGAAGGGTGAATGTGAGACTTCATATCCTTTGCTATGCTATCAGGAGGGGATCAATCAGTCCTTGACGTAGGACATCAAGCTTGGTAAAATAGGGGATCAATGAAATTGAGGAAGACCCTCAATGAGATCAACTGACACAGTGGCTGCCACAGTGGGCTCAGACATAACAATTAGGAGATGGTGCAGGGTCCGACATTGTTGCTTTTTACTGTACTCAGGGTCATTGTGAATCTGTGTACAACTCAATGACGACAATAACAAACAATTTAAAAATAAAGATAAGAGTTATTTTACTTTACATCAACTTCTTACCGAATTTAAGGAAATAAAAATTCGGGCTGTTAAAATGACTTCTTTCTCTTCTGCTTCTTTTTCGATTTCCTCCTTCCATGCTGTCAATTTATGATGTTTGCTGGGATATTTAGGCAAAGTAACTCCAAATAGTGTTCTCCTTACTTTTGATCCTCATGAAAAAGTGCATGGCTGCAGTGCTTTATCTTATTTCTCTGGAAGACACTGGAAAATGATTTGGCTGGACTCCATGAGCATTAAAGCTATGACAAATGTTCCATTTGCTTGTCCATCTGCCAGTAACATGGCTCTTTGTGAGAGTTGGTTGCCTAGACTTGACTTAAAGGAATTTTTTTCTGTGTAAAATCTGAAAAGCATAAAAATGAAGAAAAGTGTATTGCTGAAGGTTACTCATCCTAAAGAGAGGTTTTCTGATCCTCTATCAATATATTTAATATTTCTTTTACCTTTAGAGCTTGCCCATTGATCTGCTCACGCTTGCTTTAATAAATGTGAATTTTCCCACTTTCATTTTTAGATTATTATTATGATTGGTGTTAGATCTTAAAAATGATTTGGCTCATGAAATGTATTTTGATATATTTTATACATTTACTGTTTGTTTTTTAAGTTGAGGGAAGTTCTGGGAAAACAAAACCCAGGGTTTACATTGACTAGCTGGTAAGAGTTACCCACCTTCTCATCGCTGCCAACGCTGAAACAGGCATGCATGCAAATAAGCAAAAGGCTTATAAAATCCAAAATAATCCATTGCCTTTGAGTTGATTCTGACTTTTAGTGGCTCCATAAAACAGAGCAGAGCTGCTCCGTAGCGTTTCTTAGGGTGTAAATAGGCTTTACAGACAGGGCTGCTGTATCTTGCTCTGGCGGTAGGACTTGTTGTTGGTAGATGCAATTGAGTCAGTGCCCAATAGGACTCCTGTGCACAACACAAGGAAACACTGCGTGGTCCTGGGCTATGCTCCAATTGTTCCTATGCCTGAGCCCATGGAACACCTTGGGCTTATGCATAACTTGGAAGCAGTACCACTAGTGGGTGTGAATCGCCAGCCTTTGTTAGGAGTCCACCATTTATCCCTGTGTGCCACCAGGGCACCTTAAAGGAGTATTATTTTTTAAAAAATATCAAAATTGGTCCTGGGGAATTTATTGGTTTATTTATATGATTTCTGCTGCTTCTGCTGAAAATGAGCTGGACTACCAAAGGAATTTCTATAACACAGAAGCTGTTTGGTTCAATAACTTTCTGTCTCTGTCTCCTTCCAGCTTTTCTTTGTTCAGTGAGTAGATTAGTAAAGCATTTTCTATACTTAAGAAGTAGCTCCTAATTAGGAGGGCATATACAGTGCTTCTGTTTTAATTTTTAATAGTAATATGAGACCAACTCTGTGCCTTCTAAATATAATTCACAAAGAATCTCACTGTTTCTGTCTTAGGGCTCTGCAGCATCGCGCTGATGTGTCTTGCCTTTGGAAACTGCTGGGAGATGCATGCACCAGTCTGTATGCGGTCTCTCCGTCTAAAGTGAATGTTAATGTTTCAGGAGCCCTTCTAGGTCAGAAAGAAGGCAAACAAGTATTGAAGAAAACTGAGCTCCTCCATCTTGGGGGAAGGTAATTTACAAACATTGCTAGTTAATGGCATGCAAACTGAATCAAAACGTTATAAGAAGACGCAGCATTCACTTTTATATTTCCATGTAGGTGTTACGGCCGTGCGTTGCAGCTGATGTCTGCATCTAGTACATGGTGCGATCTTGGAATTAATTATTATCGACAAGCACAACAGTTAGCTGAAACAGGCGACAATATGGATGATCTTAAAGAGTTGTTGGAGAAATCTTTACATGTATGGCTTTGAAAAAAATTTTTTATAGAGTTTTGAAAACACTGAATATTTTCCTGAAAGGTGTTTTTGGCACATTGTATACTGTCATGTTTTCACATAAAATCCTGTTTACACTAGCAAGCCAGTTCTGACACCTGGCGCCCTCTGGGAATGTGCTGCTATTTCAAGAAATAAGATTGAATCTAACTGTTTTTCAGTGTCTGAAAAAGGCCATCAGACTGGACAGTAATAACCACTTATACTGGAATGCACTTGGTGTAGTCACTTGTTATGATGGTGAGAATTGACTATTACCGGGTTTTTAATAGGTTCTTGTTTAAGATGATAAAGTCCAGCTTCATCAACATCTCTGTTTTTCAGGCATTAGAAATTATGCCCTTGCTCAGCACTGTTTCATCAAGTCCATCCAGTTGGAACAGATTGTGAGTGCTATGGGTGCGAAAGAACTTTGAAACTTAGGGTTACTAACTGCTGGAGACTTAAATAGGCCAGGGGTCTAATTTTTCTTTTTTAAATCTGTTGTTTAGAATGCTGTTGCATGGACAAACTTGGGAGTGTTATACCTTGCAAATGAAAATATTGAGGTAAACGTGTTACTTGTTTTGCTATATTAAAAGAGAAATTTTTCTGTCAGCCACTTGCGTATATATGGTATTTCATTTAGAGATTAAAAATAAATCTATTTGAAATTATTTTGAGAATTTTTCTTTTTATCCCTCCATCTGTAAGAGAGCTGGTGAGGATGGAGAGGGCGAGGGGTGGGCAAAGGGAGGGAGGTGACTTATACTATAGAAGCTTAAATTTAACCTTTGCTTGGGTAATGTAGATTTGACTTCAGTAGATATTAAATCTCTTTAAATACCACAATGTTGTTTGTCATACCTGAGCCGTATACATCAGGGATTTGGAACTAAAATAACAGGGGAGTGTGTATAGGTCATGTTTGGAAATTCTCAAGTCTGTAGCTATCAGCACATCTATACTATTGCCTGTCAACCAGTGTATTAAATCTCATCTTTTTTGATTAGCTTCAATAATAATCTTAGCAACATGAAGTCACCGCAAAGAGGAGTAGTATTAGAGGATTTTAATTAGATTGACTATAAATATTAGCATCTTGAAATATGTGAAAAATTTAATAACGCAGCACACCTTCGTGAATAAACTATGAGTGTAGTGCTATGGGAATTTACTGTTTTACAGGAAATGAAAGACGGTTTCCTGCCACACATACATTTATGGAGAACACAACATAAATAATAACAAAGCAGCATATAACAATGTTGTCCCTTGCAGCAGAACAAAGAGCGTGTACCTTCATGTGTCAGAGTGTGGGTCTTCCCATTTTCTTTTCGTCCATTAGCCAGGTGCTTGTCAGAACATTCACTGTGATTAACTCTGACCCTCTCAGTTAAGCTCAAAGAAAGGGCAGGAGATGCAGCCATTTCTAATAAGCATGCCCTTGGATGAATGGCAAAACACATTATACCTGTGCTGCCCTTTTCACTAAGGGACTGAAACTCTTGGTCCTGGAGAGAGATGTTTGTGGTCTGACACTATGAAGCCAGAACAGTGCCTTAAGCATTGCAAAACGGGTATTTACTGTGAAGTTTTAGGTTCATGCACATTTTTATGTGCATGACCTTTTATGCACATAAAAGTTCTTTTTTTGTGCCCTTTTAAAAGTTCTTTTATTGTAGGCTTTTGAAGATAAGCAATTTACTGTTAAATTTATGAAATAACTTAATATGATATGTTCTTGTTGTTTGTTTTTGTTTTTTTCCCTCCTAGCAAGCACATGAAGCTTTCAAGATTGCTCAGTCTCTAGATCCATCTTATTTAATGTGCTGGATTGGACAAGTAAGTTCTTAGTAATTCTACAGATAAGCTGTCATTGTCATTAGCAATCGTGATAATAGACAAACTGGGGGGTTACTTTTTGCCAGTTATTGTGTTAAGCAGTTTGCATACATTCTTTCAGTAAATCCTTTGTTTTAGTTTCCTAGTGCTGCTGTAACAAAAATGCTACAAGTGCTTCAAGAAGCGAAATTTATTATCTCACAGTTCTGGAGACGAGTGAGCTCAGAATAGGTACTCTGGCTCTTAGTGCCATGGGGGAGTGGCAGTCCTTAGTCCTTAACCCTCCTTTGCTGCTTATAGATATATCTGTCTATGTCATCATGTGACACACCTTCCCCCATGTATGTATATGCTTTTCCTTCTTTTTAAAAAATCATTTTATTATGTTTTTCCTTCTTAAGACAACTCTCAGAAAGGATTAGGTTTTGGACCCACCTACTTCAATAGGACCTCATTAACATACCCCAAAAGAGCCCTAGTCCCAAATAGGATCACATTCACAAGTATAGAGGCTATGACTTTATCATATCTTTCTAGGAGAAAAAGTTCAATCCGTACCTTTGTTATCAGTCCTTTGAGTTGGTGGCTGTTGTTATAGTTTGGGGTTTTCTCAGGTGTACAAAATTGAAGTTCAGAGATCTTTAGTATTATGCCCAAGGTCACACAGCTTGATTTGGGAAACTCTGAACGACATCAATGCTTATAAAAAGCCACATTACTGTTGAGTTGATGCTGACTCATAGTGACCCTCTAGGAAGCGTAGAACTGCTCATTGGATTTCCAGGGCTGTATGTAAATCTTTGTAGACGTAGGCTGTCAACTGCTACATCTTTCTCCCTCAGAATAGCTTGACTAGGTTTGAAGCGCCAAGTGCTTAATCACTGTGCCACTAGGGCTCCTCGTGCTCATGAAACAAATCCCAAATGCATTGTTTATAGTATATTTGCAAAGAAAAGATATTTTGATTATCATGTTCTCTTGTTGTTTTCGTGTGACTCTGTGTGAAACAACGAAACAAAGCTGCCTAGTCCCACCCTATTTTCACACTTGTTATTATGTTTGAGTCTATTATTGCAGTCCCTGCATCACTCTGTCTTGTTGAGGGTCTTCCTCATGTTCAATGACATTCTACTTTACCAACCATGACGGCCTCTTCCAGGAACTGATCCCTCCTGATAATATGCCCAAAGTATGTGAGGCCGTCTCACCATCCTCACTTCTAAGGAGCATTCTGGTTGTACTTCTTCCATGAGCGATTGGATTTGTTTATGCTTTGGCAGTCCATTGTATCTTCAATAGTTTTTGCCAGTACATAATTCAAACACATGGATTCTGCTTCGATCTTCTTTATTCCTTGTGTAATTTTTACGTGCATATGAAGTTCCTGAAGATACCATGGCTTGGAGCAGAAGCATCCTAGTTCTCAAAGTGACATCCCTGCTCTTCAGTACTTTAAAGAGGCCTTGTGAGGCAGGTTTTCCCATTACTTTTTCATGCACAGTTTTGGCATTACTTTCTGTGAACTTTCCCTCCCCACCTATTAAAAAATTGGACACTTTTATTAGGATTTCGGTCTCCCTTAAGTTTAGATTTTTGTTCTGTCAAATAGATTAGTTGGCTACAAATCTGAATATTGTCACCAACTTATTATTTTACCTTACTATATCATTTTACTTCTCTGGATTTTTATCTTATTATTATTTACTTGACAAAGAAGTGGATTGGTTACTTATGAAATTGTAATATTTCAGTAAGTAGTCAATAGCTTTGAAAGATATATGGTGACATCAACGATTAAGTGCTAAGCTACTAACCCAAAGGTTGACAATTCAAATATTCCTAGTAGCTCCGTAGGGAAAAGACCTAGAGAATTGCTCCCCAAAAGATTATAGCTTAGGAAACCATAAAGGCAGTTCTTTTCTGCCTCAAGCATTGCTATGAGTTCAAAACAGTTTTATTTAAGACGATAGGCTCATCACCAGTATCAGAGATTGTTATCAGAGTTCTGACATCTTGCATTTTACTCCTGACTCTTAGATCTGATTCTTGAAGACCTAGGCTTATCCTTGAGGCAGGCAGAGAATGAAAGGCAAACTACAGCTCCCACTAAGTGTGGTAGCACCAGGGACAGTTGTTGTGCTTAGGAGACCCAAGAATTTGCATTTCTAACTGTTCCCAAATAATGATGATGTTGATGTTTCTGCTTCAGGGATCTCACTTTGAATAGTAGTACTCAAGTTCAGTCACTATCAGGTGCTTATATGAGGCACCCAAATAGTACTTAAAGTTTTTTTTAAAGGTTGTTTTTGTTTTTTAAAATAATCTACATCAGGAGGTATCAGATTCCATTTAAATGATAATAATAGAAGTGAGACTTAATTGCCTGATATCAGTAATATGTGTTAACTTAAAATAATTGCTTTCCTATAAAAGCTAGCTGAATTAAAAAGTAATTTTAGCTTTTCACATACTTCTTATAAAGTCAAATGCATAGAGATGATATTTGAAATTCTGAGGGAGCTAAAAAATATTGAGTTAAAAAAGCATGCTGTGCTTTATCACAGACCTGTGGAAGCAAGATTTCTAGGGTGAGGACATTTTTTTCCAAGAGTTCCTGTGAACCTCCACTCTTGCCAAGTACTCTTAGTAGACAGATGAGGGATGGGCAATGTAGCACAGCCTCAGCAGTGTCTAAGGAATGTCCTGTGGCCTAGTTCACCACGGCCTCGTCGCAGATGGCTCTCTGGAAGCTTTTGTCGGTCAGTGGGTCAAATCAGCAAGCCATCCTGGTCCTCAGAGCCACAGTAACCAAGATTGGAAAAGAGAAATTAACAAGGGCTTTTAGCCTGGCTAGTAAACCTTTGGTTCCTTCCAGCGATTTTATTTGCATTAATTGTCCGGTTTGAAACACAGTAAGAATCTCTCTTCTTTCTGTAGGCTCTTATTGCTGAGACAGTTGGCAGTTATGACACCATGGATCTCTTCCGACACACGACGGAACTCAGTATGCATGTAAGCCTTGACACCTTCTTCTCGAGGTTCATTAGGGGACCAAATGTGATCTTTCCTAAGTAAATGTATCGGTAGTGGTAGAAGATGTGAGTGACAGCATTTGCCTGCACTCATTATTCTTTCCTAGAAACGATAAGCTGTCTGCAAGTATGTGTTTCATTTTCCTCTTCCGATCAGCTCATGAAGAAGCAACACTGGCATTCAGCAGGCACAGTAGCAGCCACGCAGAGAAGCAGATCTAGGAAAGATCTCGATAAGAACCAGACATGGTTGACAGGCCACGTTATTTATGGAAGTGCTTTGCAATTCTTTTGTTCGTTGCAATGAAGGCTTATTGTTTGATGAAGATGGTGCAGAGAAGGGGAAATCCAGTCCATTAGGTGTGGCTGCTTCTGCACTATATAGTTATCCCATTTGATTCTTCTACCTAACATTGGAACAAGTGATTTAGAAATGTCTTCTGCCATAATGAGCCTTAATTTAAGGGATTTAGCAGTTCACTTAAATGAGGCTAAGATAGGATACTTATGTTGAAGTGTGCTGTTCCATTTCTTAATTTTTGTTGGGGTATTTATTGCACTATGCCCACTTGCTAACTTTTACTTTTTTTTAAAAGACGGAAGGTGCAATCGGTTATGCATATTGGGTGTGTACAACGTTGCAAGATAAAAGCAACAGGGAAACAGAGCTGTACCGCTACAACATTCTCCAGATGAATGCAATTCCGGCAGCACAAGTTGTTTTGAATAAATACACAGGTAAGGTACTCATTGTATTGGCAAGATATATGAATACATGTTGAAGCAATTTAAACAATTTTTTGCAATTAATTCAAAGTTAAACCTTAATACTATTTAAGAATTGAATTTGACTTTTTCATTTTTCTTTTAAAAGTAGCTAAGCAATCTACTTGTAAACTTTAGCAGGAGCTTTTAAGGGTGATGGGATTGCTGTTATCTAGTCATCCTGCAGAGGAGAGCGTTTGAAGCCTGACAGTACTGAGTTACTGTTTTCCTTGCTCTGCTCTCTTGGGCCATTCATTTGACCTTCTTTAACTTCTGTGTACTCCCAGGAAAATGGAGATAATACCTAGGCTGTAGAGTTAGTTGTGATAATTAAATGAAATGCCAAACCCAACTCCATTAATCCCTTCCTTTAACATCTGATCTTTATTCAAGATATTTGAAAAATAAGTGTAGGCTTACAAAAATGACAACCAGTGAAATATTAATGATCTATGGTAGTAGTTTCCTTCCTTCCATAATAGTACCACTGGATTTTAATCCCTTCTCCACACTCAATAACCATGATAAGATCTTCAGTTGAGTTGAGTTTTGTTGTTGAGTTTGTCAAGTTGAGTTTTGTTTTTCCCATTTATAATACCAAACCAAACTCACTGCCATCGAGTCAATTCCAACCCATAGTGATCCTATAGGACAGAGTAGAACTGCCCCTGTGAGTTTCCAAGACTAACTCTTTTAAAAATAATTTTATTGGGGGCTCTTCCAGCGCTTATAACAATCCATACATCCATTGTGTCAAGCACATTTGTGCATATGTTGCCATCATCCTTTCCAAAACATTTTCTGTCTACTTGAGCCCTTGGTATCAACTTTTCATTTTTTCTCCTCCCTCCCTGATGACTAACACTTTATGGAAATAGAAAGCCCCGTCTTTCTCCTGTTCTATTTTTAATAGATAAGTAAAACTATATATTGCTTAGAACTTAAATGAGATGACTTATGCAAAATACCACACAGTGTCTGGCATATCCTCGGTGCTCAAGAAATGTTAGCTTCCTTGAAATGATATTTATTCCTTGACAAAACTCTAAATACTTGGCCAAGTATTAGAGTCGAAGCAAGGAGCATGGCAGAAGCACTGATGGCTGTCAAATACCGTAGTATAAAGAATCAGATGAACTGTGAAAAGGAAGAGAGGGCAAAGAGGGATTACAATACCTTTCATGCTACGAGCCTGGGGAACTTGAATAGAAGGGCATTGGTTTACAAATGTCAGCACTTGTGGGCATTGCCAAGTTGGGCAGTATGCCAAAGTGAATGTCCCTAATGATCACCTAGAGCTACTGAGAAAGTATTTGGTCAGAAATTTTATTCATATGTTTCCAAGAATGGTGGATATTTGTGAAGGATTTACATAAAGAGATAAATCTCGGAAAAGTTCAGATACGTAAAATAACAAGTAAACCATCTCATCAGTTCTGATAGCTAGGTTTTTATAGTAGAGCCAATTTATAAACTCACACAAGTAAATCAATTGTATATACTTTCAACAACACAATTAGAAGAGGAGAAGGGGGCGTGGGGGTGAGAGAGAGAATGTGGACACTTATTGTCAGTGTTTTTCCCGCAAGGTGAAGCTGATGAATTCAGCTTTTGTTGTGTGATGATTTTAGGGATTTTTTTTTTTTTCAAGAATAACCTGACTACCTCATTTTGATCTTAAACTTTAATGTTAGAACCAATTTGTCACCTAAAGAGTCACTTGAAGGTGCACGTCTCAAAACTACTTTTCACCAGCTGAGGTCTGCCCCCTTTCTCCGCTGTACCTCAGGAGCTATTTGATGCCTTTTGGCATTAAAATTACTGCACTTAGTGCCCAAATCGTCTTCTGTTTCTTGTGTATGGTACCGAACTCCTTTTTAAAAACCTCGTGGAAATGAGAACTCCACCCGGAGCACTTGTTCCTAAATGTAATCACTGGAAGGTATATATGATTAGCCACTAACTGCATTTCCTTATAAGTCTCACGATTCATTTTTACCTGAGGTAGTATTTCAAATTATTTTATCACAGAGAGTAAACATACTTAAACTTTAAAGCACAGTCATCAACATAGAACCTATAAAATGATTATATTCATGATAAAATCAGACCATTCTTTTGACCAGTGCCCGTGACTTTGGGGCCAGGGGTAGTATGGGGCTGAAGATCTGGAAGACGTTTTAAATAAAACTAACATTTACAAATACAAGCAGTGTGCATGTGAAGTAACACTATTTCTGGTTTTCCAGAAAGACTTCAGGATTACGCTCCAGCTTTCTCCATGTTGGGTTACTTAAACGAGCACCTACTACTGACAAAGGAAGCGGCTAATGCGTACCAGAGGTAAACGATATGTGTACCTGTCAGTTGGAGCGCTATCAGTCTAGTTCTTGAAACCAAGTATGTAAGTGTTCTGACTCCTTTCTTGGTCCTTCAGTATTCAACACGAATGGGGAAATGATGGAGTCCCCAAGTTTTTACCTTTATTTTGTTTTTGTTGCCTAACACCCCCGCCCAAAAGACCTTGAGTCAATTTTGACTCATAGTGACTCAATAGGACAGAGCAAAACTGTCCCTGTGGGTTTGCAGAAGAGAAAGCCTCATCTTTCTGCTGTGCACTATGTGCTGGGTTCGAGCTGTTAACTTTATGGTTAGCAGCCCAGTGCTTAACCCATTATTTTCCTGGATTCCCGAACCTAAAAGGACAGAAAGAAGAAGGAAAACCAAAAGCCCTTGAGTTTTGTTTTTGAAAAATCTTCCCCCTTAGAACTCTTCTAGCCTTATTAAATATACGTACTTCATCAGAGGAGAAATGCAAACTTTATGATGTATACATTTGAATAATTTTAATATTTACCCCCCAAAAAACCTGTCATCACATTGATTCTTGCTCATAGTCAGAGCAACCCTCCAGGATAGAGAAGAGTGGAGCTCCTCCGTGGGGTTCTCAGGGCTATCCACCCATCTTTAAGGAAGCAGCTTGCCCCACACTTCCATCATTCTCCCTCAGAGCAGCGGGGGGATTTGAACCAGCATCTGGAAGCTGTGCTACCAGGATGCCTTATTTTACTGTCTACCACATACTGTGTGTACTCGAGTATAAGCCGACCTGAACATCAGCCTTAGCACCTAATTTTACCACAGAAACTGCATAAAAAATGTGTCAAAAAACTCGGCTTATGCACGAGTATATACGGTATTTATTTATTTGACAAACGTGTTCGGGGTGCATTGGCAATTTAGCGGTGCATTTAAAAGGCCATAGTCCCTGTTCTGGGACAAGAGACATACAGTAAGCTGATAGTCATCTGCACTGGTCGGAATTATTCGGAAGAAATTGAGTAGGGTAAAGGACAAGGGCTGCCAGTCCAGGAGGTTGCTGACATTGTACATACATGTAAGACGTGTAGATTTACTAAGGAGGCAGTGAACCTTGACCTGAATATGAAGAGGCAACAGTGCACTGGCTTATCAGGGGAAGGGCATCCAGATGGAAGGGGCAAGAAGAACAAGTGCTGTGAAGCAGGGGGAGACTGGGCATGTTTGAGAGACACGGAAACCAGTGTGATCCAGTGGAAAGATCAGTGGGGAGAGGGGCAGCGAATGAACTTAACTTCCTTTTACTTTGTGAACATGGATTGATTGGTAAATAAGAAAACTATTGCTCTCTTGAATAACTGCTGCATGAATGTTCAAAGACCTGATTGCTTAATCTCTGAGACATATTATTGCCCCAAATCTTAAGTAAATTGATACATATTTTAAAAACTTTTTATTGTGAATTAGGTGGGGGCTTACATTTCAGACCATCATTTAGTAAATAGGTATTTAAAAGAAGTTTGGCTAGGTAAATAACTGAGATATCTCAAGGCTTTGTCTGATCCCTTCAAAGACCTACCTGCAGTTCAAAGGAGTAATCAGCAGATGGTACTGGAGGCAGGATAATCAAATTGCTTTTTCAGGGTATGTGGAAAGCAGTTTATGGGAAACTAGAAACTATACTTAAACTATATGAAGTATTTCTTTCAGTGTCAATAAATGCCAGTAAACCAGCTGTGTAAATGTGGTAGAATACCAGCTTTTAAATAGACAACCAGGCAGCTCTGGGCGGCTTGCAGCTTCCTTTGTACATATTGCTATACTTGAAGATATTGTGACTCCAACATTGATTATACCTTTGGCTTAAAATGACAACTCAGCAGCCGCTGAAGAAGCGTATTCTTTGAGTGGTCACCACTGTTATTATTCTTCCTTAAACAAGATATTTGAGGCTTGAAACCCATATTAGTTATAAATCTAACCACAAAGTCTATGGTTTTCAATCTCCGTAAACCTCTGTTAGCAGATTTTTTTGTTTCATTCTAACATCAGAGGGATCAAAAACCTGCCTTAACTATTTCTCAACATTAAGTTGAGAAGCTTGCTGACTTGAATCTAGCCAGTGACTCCCCAGGAGGAAGACCTGCAATCTGGACCTAAAAGGATTAAAGCCCAAACTACACTCCCTGCCATGGCTCCATTTGGACTCAAAGCAGCCTATGAGACAGGCTGTGCCGGACTCTGTGGGAGCAGAAGGCCTCATTCTGTACCCAGCCCTGCCCTGCAGAGCGGCTGGTGGGTTCACGCTGCTGATCCTAAGGTCAGCAGCCCCAGTGCATAACCCACTATGCCACCAGGGCTCCCCAACAAAGATCACAACCTAGAAAATCCCGTGGGGCACAGGTCCTGTCACACGGGGTCAGAATACGATGAAGTCAACTCGACAACAGAAAATTAAAAAAAACCACTTTACTGGAAATACCGGTCCTCTGCGCATAAAAGAAACCACCCCTCGTCCAGTCAGTGTCCCTCTAGGACAGAGTAGAACTGCCCCCTTGTGTCTCCATGCTTGCAAATCTGTTCAGAATCAGGCTGCCACATCATTCTCTGGTGGAGCAGCTGAGAGGTTTGAACTGCCCACCTTTGATTTAGCAGCCCTGTGTTGTAATTGTGCCATCATGTGCTTGCATGGGTTTATTGGAAGCATCTGCATTGGAACTCTTGATGGCTCATTCTCATCTCTGAACTCAGTGCCATCGGAAAGTTTTTCTGACTATAACAAGCAAGGGCCACTAAGTAAAAAGCTAGAAGAAGAACGGATGCATTTGAGCTGTGGTTCTGGGGAATCACATTGAAAGTGCCAGAGACTTCCAAAAGAACAAATAGGACCGCCTTAGAAATACAGGCATCGGACAGTGTAAGATATGGCAAAATAATAATTTGTAAATTATCAAGGGTTCGTGAGGGAGGGGGGAACGGGGAGGGAGGGTGTAAAATGAGGAGCTGATGCTGGGGGCTTAAGTGGAGAGCAAATGTTTTGAGAACGATGAGGGCAATGAATGTACAAATGTGCTTTACACAATTGATGTATGTATGGATTGTGATAAGAGTTGTATGTGTCCATAATAAAAAGATTGAAAAAAAACAAAAAAAACAAGCAGGGGCATGTGAAAGCATTCAATTTTGCGCCTCCAACTACACATATATAACTGTTTTTTAGAGTATTTTCCACGTTCCCTAATTATATTAAAACTTAAAATGTTGATGCTTCCCGTTTTTAACTTAAATTTTTTTTTGGAGTGTTTAGAACTCAGGTTCATTAAATTGTTTGACTTTCCATTATTTTCGTAATAATTCAGAAATCTAACTATATGTGCTTTGGGTACCAATTTTAACTAGCATGAAAGAATTAATAAAATTAAATAGGAAAAACTATAGAATTAGCTAAGGAGTAAAGGTAAGATATTATTGCACATAGCTAATTTAAAATAACTTGTCCTTTTTCAAAGGGCAATTTTATTGTTACAGGCTACAGAAGACCAAGGTACTTATAATGCTACAGTAAGAAATTATGGCAGATTGTTATGGTAAGCATTTTTCTTCCCCTTAATTCTGACTCTATTGGGATTTTCTGGTGAAAACACTGGCGCAGTAAACAGTTTTCGGAGTTGTGGGGCATGAATAAGTGAAGAAGAAGGTGACATTCCTCCAGGATATTAATTCCCACACCACCGGGCCATGTTTCTTTCCTGGAGCCCTCACTGCACCGAACTCCAGGCTGAAGAACTGGTGCTTTCGATCAAGCTTACAACTGATGGTTTGCAGACTGGACAAGAGGTCATTTGGAGGAGAGGCAGGGCCTTCCATATGGTGGTAGCTTGGGAAATTGGAAGATAAAGTATTCAGTTTGTCTGTTTTCTTAATTGGATATTGCTTTTAGGGGTCCAGGAATCCTTTGAAACTATATGCAAAGAATTGTGAGTGTGGGCGTATATTTTGAGGGTAGAGATTCTATAAAATGCCTGGTATCTGCTCCAAAAATAATGAAAACCAGTTATTGTAGAGGGTGGAACACAGACCAGAAAGGACAAGTATGATGAGAGGAAGATTGCTGGCTCAGATTTTTTTTTACCATTTCGAGCTTCCCCAAATGGAATGGGGTTCTGTATGAAACATTATTAGAACTTGAGTTTGATATTTCTGGACTAGTGCCTTCATCAATTAGTCAAGGTCGGAGCCAACCAGAACTCGTTCCTGTTGTCAGCCTGTAACTGAATCATAGCACAGACAGTGGTGCTTCATGGGTCTGACCACACCATTTCAGGTCTTTTCAACTATCTAAGAATTGGTAAAGCTCAGTCCCTTGGATCAGAGAATAACTATGTTTTAGCAAATCTTAGGGAATTGAATATATATCCTCTTTAGTTTTGATGTTTCATTAAATATAAACATTGTATCTTAGAAGAACATGTATACTGTCATTGAAAGTAGTTTATCTTCCTTCTGTTTTTATTATAAATATTTCAAATGTGGTAATTTGTAAAGTATAGTGCATAATGTAACTCATCAGTAAATGTAGACAGTAGCAATATTTTATATTTTAATAATGCCGGCTATTATTATTGTTTATATTAAAACTAAATTGCATTTTATCTCATAGTTCCATTGGCGAATATGATAAAGCTATCCAGGCTTTTAAATCAACATCCCTTGAAGAGCTGGAAGACATCATAGGTCTTGCATTAGCTTTATTCATGAAGGGTCTCTATAAAGAGAGCGGCAAAGGTGAGTAGATTGCCCGAAGCTAAAAAGCATCCGCCTCAATAGTAAGATCTGGATAGCACTTATTCATGATGAGCTTACATGCAGAAAGATAGAATTGAGATATGGGGGTGGGATGGTGGTGTGAAATGAGATTAGGAATCAGGTGATGAGGAGTCAGAATGATACTTGATCTTTTTTTTCTTTAACTGTATGTAATACATTATTATGAATAGTCCCTGAGTGGGGTTATGAGCTGAGTGATATCTTTGTTTTACAGATGAAGAACATCAACTCTAATATCCTTAAGGTAGATATCAGAGTTAGCATTTGAAAGCAGCTCTTCATTACCACACACTGCTTAGATATAACTCGCTGATAAATGAATACTTCAACTGTTATTAGTAATGGTAGATTTTGGTGTATCAGAAAATGCTGAGTGCCTGTCCATATATAGGGGTCTAGCTCATTTTAAGTGGCCACCCTGCAGGATGGAATTGCTGGTCTCCACGTGGGGATTTTGGTTATGTCTCAGAGGTGGCAGGGTCCATTTATGGCCTAAGCTGGATCTTGAAGATAGTGACCCAGCTTCTTAAGATAGAAGTTAAGGACTGTCACATAATACTTCTAATGATATCCCCAGGAGCACCTTGGAACAGCTAAACTCAAATTATTATAAATTCATATACTGCCACATGGTAAATAGGCATAATTAAAATAGATGTTCAATTAAGTCTTTTTGAAAAATAGGATTCGAAAAGAAAAATTTTTACAACAGTTCATCAATCAAGGTTGGTTTTATTTTTCTTTCTCACTGTATATAACAGCCTATGAAAGAGCCTTGTCTGTTGTTGAATCAGAGCAAGATAAAGCACATATCTTGACAGCTCTGGCAATAACGGAGTATAAACAAGGAAAAATGGATGTAGCCAAGACGTTGCTCTTTAAATGGTATGTATGGTTGACATTAATACTAAACATGACCAGAAACTTCAATTTTGGATTAAATTTGAAGCAAAGTAAATGATTTCATTAACCTTTTAGGAGCTTTTTACTGAGAAAAAAGATTGTTCCTATCTGGTTCTGAAGATTATGGTTTAATTCTTATCCCTGGATCCATCAGTGCTTCAAAACCATCATTTTCCTTTCCTTGTGCATATTCTATTTTAAGGAGTTCTGGTAGTGGAATGGTTAAGCACCTGTCTGCTAATCCAAAGGTTAGCAGCTGCTCTGTGAGAGAAAGATGTAGCAGTCTGCTTCTGTCAAGAATACAACTGTGGAAACCCTCCTAGGGCAGTTCTACTCTGTTCTATAGCATCATTAAGATTGGAATTGACTCTATGCAGTGGGTTACCAAACAAACAAACAAACAAACCAAACTCGCTGCCCTGGAGTCAATCCTGATCCTAGCATTTCTATTGGACAGAGCAGAACTACCCTGTGGATTTCTGAGACTGTGACTCTTTACAGAAGTAGAAAGCCTCATCTTTCTCCTGCGGAGTGGCTGGTGGTTTTGAACTGCAGACCTTATGATTAGCAGCCCTACTTGTAACCACTCCTGGCAGTGGGTTAGGGCGTTTTATTAATTTTTTTAAAACAGTAATTCGTCACCTGATTTGTAGAATTTTAGTATACTGGTAAGAATTTAAATATTTGTCTTTTTCTTTTAAAATTAATATTGGAATTCATATCACTGTGTTTTATTGCTTCTCTTGTACAGACTTACAGTGTAGTTCTTTGTACTGTTAGAATTGATTATGGCTAACTAACATTCCTTCATGTTTAGACTCCTGTATCTATTAATCTTCATTGTAAAAAAAGTTAGCTGCACATTTTAAAGTAAACTGTTTACTCTAGACCTGCCTGTGAAGATTCATGAATTCAAACTTGTTTACGAAAATTAAGTACAATGCAATTTGTTTTCCCTTCCAAAAATTAGTAGGAAATCATACTGGTAAATATGTGATATTTTTAATGTAAGAAATATTTTAATTAAATGTTAATGAATATTGTTTTAAGAATCTTTTTTGGGGTTCCTGTGTTTTATTATAGTAAAAATGAATAATTATTAGAACATTAAGAAGTTTTTCGACAGCTATGGTTTTCTTTTTAAAAATTAATAAGGATTTTTAAGCGTTAGTGATTTCCATCCATTAGACTGCATCTGATTTCACAGAAAAATATGAATGCAAGTTGATTGCATACAACCTATAAATTCTCCATAAATGTATGCAATGATTAATGAGAATATGGTGAAGGTATATAGAATTAGAACTTATAAACATCTGGTTTCAATATTATCTAGCAAATTGCTTTTTCAGAATGATAAAAATCAGATCAATGCAAAGGTTCTTTCTTTTCTTAATTATACCTTTTAGGATTTTATTAAAACTAAACATTTTGGCAAAATTACTCTGTTTACCGAGGACTGAAATCCAGTTAAACATAATAACCAGAAAAGAAACTTGGATATTATTCCATGAATGACCACTGGTATTTTTAGCTGCTTCAGGCAATGAGGGGGTGTTCCTGCACGCCAAGAAATTTGGTTTTATGTTCATTTTTAAAAGAGTTTGTGAACTTTGCATAAATTTCATTTTGCACTCAATGCTAAATGTTTGACCAGTTGCATATACAAATGATTGTACTCATGGCCAATAGACAACTAAAAAGCATATTTACAGTTCTATCTTAAAGGAACCAACTGTGGAAAGCCTCCAAGCCCTGTGTGCTCTAGGATTGGCAATGCAGGATGTTACACTCTCCAAAGCAGCACTGAATGAATTACTGAAGCACATCAGACAGAAAGACAAGGAGTATCAGAGGTGCCTTCTGACTTCAGCTGTGTACGGGCTCCAGGGCCACAGCGTGGCCGTACAGAGACAAGCCGCCAAAGCTGTTCACAGGTAGATTTTGTCAGTGTGAATATGAGACAGTAATATTCATTATGCAGTAGTCTGACACGTAAACCTTCTTAATATAAAATAGGTAAGTGTATATATGTGTGAATGCACATGTCTATATTGACATAGATATATAGAAACCAAATTGGGGCTTTAAGAAACTGCATTGGACTAGGTGACTACCTAAATGTATTATTTC